ATACGCACTAAAAATATTTACAATTATTTGAAATTTATTTGTTCCACTATGTCCGTAAAATGTTAATCAACTGTGAGTGGGTATTTTTTAGATTTGAATGATGACAATTGGACACGTGAACAGCAAATACCAAGATCGTTTGCTTTCAATACTGAAAAGATTTACCTTCATTAAGCATAAGTCTGGATGGAATACAAAACATAAGAACTCATTCATGTATATATTTCTTTTCGTGTTCTTATTTATATTGATGACAAATATTGTTTTCTCCATTTTTGTAGGGTCTGGAACTTTGTATAAATGTCGTAAATGATCTTGCCGTATGGAATCAAACTGGAATGTTACGCGACTTCTGTAATGTAACATAATATATCGGGTACATAGTCGAGGGCCCTTGATTTGACGTCGTAAGAGATGTGAAGCTGTAGTGGACAACGTCTCTATTGCTGCAAATAGAAACGTCGACGCCAGGGGTTTAGCAGTCAATATTACCATCCATTCTCTTGTCGTACATCTTGATGAAGACTTTCATTATTTGGAATTTCTTGGAAATGTTAATCTTTCCGTTGAATCCATCTTCACATTGTGTAAGGTTTTGCATAGTTTTGCATCTATTTGCTTCTATTTCGCCATGATAGATGTGCAGTACCAATTTAACGAATCACTGAAAGTATAACGCTATATAGTATTTTCTTTGAGAGGCATTTTAGAAGTTGTAAAGATGAAGGAAAACTAAGTTCTATGGATAATCAACTTCTTTATTGCAATGAGTGCGACGTTTCGGTGTAGGTACTAACACCGTATTAATCAAGTGACACAACAATTTGTAACAAGGAGAATATATACATTGCTGCATAGTGAGTATATACAAATAACAAGGTTGATGTACATTGGGTATTTGATAAGTGATTTGAGCAGGGGAGGTTGATGTACAGAGTGAATGATTGTGATTAGAGTTGAGTTTATACAATTGGTGAGTTACACGTACAATGGGATGATGATAAGTAAGTAGGTTGAAGTACACGAGTTGTGATTGCAAGCACAAAGGGGAGCGTGGAAGCCAGATGGACAAAGGAGGTATGGAAGGATTACTTGTGGTGGTCTTTGATTAGGTGGTGATAGGCTGAGGAGATGAAATAACCTTGATCACGATTCATGGTGGGGTTGTGGCGTTGGATGTTTATGGCTTCAACATACAGTATCTATCTTTTTCGACTTAGAAAAAGCATATGATACAACGTGGAAACATGGTATCCTAAACGATTTACACGAATTTGGATTGAGGGGTAGACTACCTCAATTCATATCTCAGTTTTTATACAACAGACAATTTCAAGTTCGGGTGGGTTCCACACTGTCTGACTATTTCCACCAAGATCAGGGCGTCCCCCAAGGCAGCATCCTGTCTGCCACACTTTTTAGCATAAAAATTAACAGCCTCACTAACGTTCTGAACAGTTGCGTTGATGGGTCCCTTTTCGTGGATGACTTCAATATTTCATGTCGTGGTAAAAACATGCACACAATAGAAAGGCAGCTACAACTCTGCCTTAACAAAATCCAAAAATGGGCCAATGAAAATGGTTTTAAGTTTTCAAAATCCAAAACAAATTGTATTCACTTTTGTCGTAAATACAAACCACACAAGGATCCAGACCTAACTTTAGATGGTACTCCCATCAAGGTAGTAGAAGAGGCCAAATTCCTTGGACTCATATTCGACCGCCACCTGACATTCTTACCACACATAAAATATTTGAAAACAAAGTGCTTGAAGGCTCTAGACTTGCTAAAAGTAGTCTCAAATACAGAGTGGGGAGGGGATCAGACCACCCTCCTTCATTTGTACAGATCATTAGTTCGCAGTAAACTAGATTATGGCTCCATTGTCTACGATGGAGCCTGCAAAAGCAATTTAGAAAAATTAGACTCTATCCACCACCAAGGGCTGAGGCTCTGCCTGGGAGCTTTTAGGACCTCTCCGGTAGACAGTCTATATGCGGAGGCCAATGAACCTTCCCTTGAACAACGCCGCATAAACTCTCACTGCAGTATATCACTAAATTACGTTCAAATGAGTCCAATCCAGCATACAATTGTGTTTTCAACCCGCTCTATGAAAACTTGTTTCCTAAACTGCCAAGCCAAGCCTGGTTCCACCACTTGGAATCAGGATCAAACCACACATATCTGCAGCTAAAATTGATCTCAACATCATTGCACCTTACCGACTTCTGTCCTCACCACCATGGCAAATGGTGAAACCACAGGTCGATCTTACCCTCACCAAACTCAAAAAGTCTGAAACAAATCCTTTGGTGTTCCAACAGGAATACAACCAGTTACGTTCGAAGTATAACACCCATAGATCCATTTTCACAGACGGATCCAAGGACGATGGCCAAGTTGCCAGCGCTACAGTCATTGGATCCAAGACTGTCTCCTCTAGGATCCCCGACAACAGTTCCATTTTCACCGCTGAAGCCAAAGCTATCTTCTCAGCTTCGACCTACATTCAACAGCAAAAACATTCCAAAAACTTCATCGTTTTTACAGATTCATTATCCTTCCTTCAAGCACTTCAAAATGTGACTTCAAGTCACCCAATCATCCTGGACATATTAGAACTTTACAACGACCTTTCTACTGGCCAACGTGACATCGTCCTCTGCTGGTTGCCGGGTCACGTCGGCATAGCAGGTAACACCAAGGCCGATGCTGCAGCAAAAGCAGCTCTTGACAAGCCCCTATCTTCCCTGCTAATCCCGTACAGTGATTTCAAACCCACTATCAAAAGCTATACTCGGGACCTGATGCAAAAAAGGTGGGACACTCAAGTAGGAAGAACCAAACTCCATGAATTGAAGCCAACAATCGGTTATACCTACTTGGGTTGTCATTCAAGACGTGATGAGGTAATGTTACGACGATGTCGTATTGGCCACAGTCGATTCACGCATGACTATCTGCTGAAAACGGATTGGGATGGACCCCCCATGTGTGTCTCTTGCGATGAGGTTTTCACCATCAAGCATATTCTGCTTGAATGCGTGGACTTATCGTCTGCAAGGGACTCACATTATCATGCAACAAACCTAAAAGATCTGTTCTCCCGCGTGAGCGCTCATCTGATAGTGAACTACCTGAGGGAAGTTGATCTGTATCATAAATTGTAACTGCGAAATGTAACAACCATAAATTGTAACTATGAAATGTGACTAACAAATGGCCTGCCTTTAAATTTGATGCTATGACTTTCTCTGCTTTTAAATGACAATGTAATCAATTTATGTCTTTGAAATAAAACTCATTCCGAGTATGTACATACAATGTTTACTAATGCAAACTTGTTCTCGTCACTATATGGCTGGAAAAATGCCGATGTGACGTAAAGCCCAACTCAACTCAACACACCTACACCGAAATGTCGCACTCATGGCAATAAAGAAGTTGATTATCCATAGAACTTAGTTTTCCTCCTATAAATTACTTGTTCCTAATCAATCTCTCTTATTGCTTTTCATAACCTTATGCAGAGCTTGAAGGGAAACTACACCTATGAGTCTTAAAGTTTCTACGATTACGGAAGCTGACCAGTGTCTCATACAATAATCTTAATGAACATGAATACCACCAATTACTACAACACAAATTTCCAGTGTTCTATTTAAATACTGTTTTTGTTTCACTGCGTGCATTTTACAATCTATAGAATCGGGCTCGGCAGATATTCAAGACTAATTAGTCCCCGACATTGATGTTTTACTAAACATACTGTTTCGCTGGCACAAGCACTCTTCAACGTCCGAGGATATCTTAATTCAGTTTGATAATAACGAAGGTGTCACGTCTTCGGGCGAGATGTGGTTGTCTTAAGGAGCGACTAACGGAATTTGGTGGCCATGGCTGATGCATGTCATGACATCCAGCCTCCAATACTCATGATGTCAATCACTGTATTAGTGAGTGAGTTATTATTTAACGTCACATCGGCAATATTGCAGCAATATCGTGGCGAGAACATTTGACATGGAAATAGAATATATATAGATATTATAAAAACCTGCCGACGAAGGACAGTAAAACAACTAGAATATCACAATTTGAAGTAAAACTAGCGTAGAACAATCACTGTATTAACTGGTCCAGGCTCGAGTATTTACTGACCGCTGCAAGCCGCTCAAACATTTCTTAGCAAGGTTTTAAACAACAAACCAAAAAAACTTCCGCTGTATATCATCGTCCATTGATGACCACTTCATGTCAATTTTCACCACTGCATTACTGTACTAGTGCCCCGTGCCCCAATGTGATCTTAGCGCCATGGCTGTCTTAAAGCATGGACTTACCGTCATTGTAGCACCAGCATCTATTTGTGGAACAGGGCCCTTTTATATAAAATATATAGTACCAACTGTATGTATTTTAACAATTAGTGATATAATGTTTTAGGAACTCAGAGTTACTGCAGGTGACACATAACATATTGCGAGTAATATATTATATTGTTTCAAATATTATCCGTAGGTGTTGCCTGTTATTATTGGTTCTTTGCAACAATTGCTGGTCTCGAAATGAATCAGGTCACTTGGATCAGTTACTTGGTGGATAACGGGTCGTCATACCCCTTCGGATCTTTGTTTGAAATATCGCCCCCTGGATTGTCTGGTTCAGACAGGGTTAATTACAGGTCGCTGTCATGTAGTTGGTATGCTATAGAGTGCAAAGGGGAAGTAAAAAGAAAACATTGCAAATACTGACACTTCGAGGGATGCATGATTTCGTCTTATAAACCTAAATATTATAATGAATTTCGTTTCAGAACTAGTTACAGACTCCCTGTTGATGAAACCACGGATGTAAATACAACCAAGACTGTCATCCCCACCAAAGGATCAAATAAATATCGCATACATCATTTACTCGGACGTTAAGATACTACCTGACGTGTACACCTCTCGTAAGTATTTATATGATCCTCTGCGACTCAAATTTTAACAATGGAACCAAATTCAACATTGGAGTTTGGAATAACATCCTGGACCCCTTCTCAGGAGGACAACGACTGGGTACAAATAGACGCTTTAGCATTTCACATAGAAACCTATTATTTGTGGGCCATCTTTGCCTTGGGATTTCCAGGAAACTGTTTCACCATCATCACAATCATCAAGATGTCCCCTCAGAGGTCCCTCGCTGTATACATCGCCCTCCTCGCCATCGTCGACAACCTCGCCATCGTTAACAAGCTTCTGATGTTTGTCCTCACAGACAACGGAGTCCAGATTGGAATATATGGCTGCAAGTTTCTAGGATTCTTTGGGAACTTCCTCATAACGTACGGCAACTGGCTTCTTGTTGGACTCTCTGTGGAGAGATTTGCTGCAGTGTGGTTCCCTTTCCAGATAGGCAAGATCTGGACCTTCAGGAAATCCTTGACAGTCGTGATGTCGATAACCTTGCCTCTCGTTGGGCTCTTTCTTCATCTCTTCTGGACGATGGATTATCATTATTATGCTTCCACCAAGAGTGTTTTCTGTAACATCAACGGGAAATACATCTATTTCATGGTTGATGTGTGGAACTGGATTAACGTCCTTGTGTATGCTGTAATCCCGTGTGTCCTTCTTCTCATCTTCAACCTGCTCATCATTGCAGGAATTGTAAAATCTACCAAGACTCGCAAATACCTGAATAGAAGCGGCTCGAAAACTGACAGTGCCCAAGCGGATCGACACCGTCAAATCACTATCATGCTCGTGACATCAGCGATTGCCCTTGTGGTTCTTACTACACCGAGATGTGTGTTGCTGATAATGTCCCCCTACTTGAACCCTTCTAACAAGTCTATGGAGGGAGCGGTTCTTTATCTCATTGACACAATCGCCTATGTCGAGTGTGATTCCACCCATGCGATCAACTTCTATCTCTATTCTCTGAGTGCTAGAAGATTCAGATGTCAGTTCCTTGAATTTTGTTGTAAACGTAAATCTGAAGTTGTAAGCTCCCAGTACATCAGTATGGGTAGTCGGTCGTCAACACATTGGCAGACATAGAACTACGGTTTAAATGTAAAGAGTGAATGAGTGAGACATTGCGTGGATGGGCGGTTTGGACTGTTTGAGTGTTTGAGTACTTACAGGCAGGTGAATGATTGAGAGAGTGTTCCTGTCGCACTGACGTAAACATTTTATACAAATTGCGATGGCATAATGCAATTAAATGAAAAGTGTTCTGATTGTATATAACTCGAAACACCTGGCTCACACCCACAACCAAACTTAAGAAGGAAATTAAAAACCATCTATTCCGGATAATTAGATGTAATAGTTCTCAGTGTAGTCATGTGTTTATATATATGAAAATTAAAAGTTTAAGATGAACTTTTTTACGGGAGGATAACTTCTTCATTTCAAAAGATTCCACTTTTCGATGTAGATGCTAACACTGTTATCACGCTGGGAGAAGAAACCACTTTAACTGGCATGTTTAGTTTTAGGAAATACAACAGCCACTAGTGCTTCCAGTTATAATGTGACTGATCATGAAATACAGACAATAAACAATCAACATGTACCAATTAACAAAGGTATAGATGAAAATATTGGCAATATTACCAACGTCTAACCATGATAGACGAGGAGATATGTATGTCAAGATATGTCTACTCAAGACTATGGGTCTGATGAATTGCCACACATATTTGTGTTTTCCGTTTTGATTACCAACGCAGTGAATGTGGAATAAATCTTGGTGGTGCCAATTTGGTGAAGATATTCGCAACAACAATTGCGAGAGGACCTACATGTGCACGTCAGTCGATTCTTGAAGTCATAAGCGAACTTTCTGAAAATACTGGCTTTGTTGCCGTGCTGTCGGAATTCAATCAAGTAATTTGCATATGTTTGCATGCGTTTGTGACTTAAGTCCCTGTGAGACAGGAACCGCCACCTCTTTGTGATCATCTGGTATAATCACTATTTGATAGTACGTAACACACAAAATAATTGTGATAAGGTCGGAATCATAGCAAATATTTAGCAGACATTTCTCACGACTGTGGAAAGTATATTGTTGTTTGAATCTCAACAAATAACTAACACCACACACTGGATGCCGAAGTTTACTTTCGAGAATAGTATGACCATATAAAGAACTTGTATTCCCAAATGTTTTGGATTTGTGTATCAATGACTTTTCATAATATATCCAAATGTTCATGGCATTGTATTTTCTGCATTCTGTCGGAACGTGTTGGGTGGCCTCTGATAGAGAGTAAGAAATCTGAAAGTGTTTTGGTCCTTTGTTGTACTGAGAGAGTTTGTTATAAGTTGGCGTGACATGTAAGTATAATAAACATATAGTAATGCCAATGTCCCGTGTCTTTAACGTTATAATGCATGAGTACCTATTGAAAGGTGAGGATCCTCCGTTTTGTATCCCTTGTGGTGAAAGAATCACGGTCAAGCATGTCCTACTTGACTGTGTTGAATATTCCATCACAAGGGATATCTATTTCAAATCACAAACAATGAAGGATCTTTTTAGTAATATAAGTTCTCATTTAATTATAGCATTTTTAAAAGAACTAAACTTGTTAACTGATTTGTAAATAGATACATATTTTATTATTGGTAGTTTAGATTAGTAACTGAGATTGTTAGTGGCTGTACCCTCAAAGGGGGTTGAAGTAGTGTAAAATTATTGTCCTCCTGAGAGGGTACAAAAGTCCCAAAATGTTCAAAGTCAATTTAAACTTGCCAGGATTTTTAAACGTAGCATTCTTGTCATTTTAATTGTAGCTAACATTTCTTACAATCGCCAGCAGCTGAAGGGATGGTGTAAATCCAACTAGGGTCATTGCAGGTAGCCAAGGTACTGTAAGTCCCCATGGTCCCTGGTATGGTGATCTACCTTCTGGTGTTGGCGATCTATAGCTTGCTTTTATATTGTATTGTCCAAATAGTGCTATCAGTTTTAACTCTCCATACTAGTTTTAGTTGTAATTGTGATATTTTAGTTGTTTTACTGTCCTTTGTCGACAGGTTTTTATAAGGTACATATATTCCATTTCAATGTCAAACGTTCTCATTTCACTTTTAATTGTATAAATTGTTTTCGTCACGATATGGCTGCAATATTGCCGATGTGACGTTAAATATTAACTCACTCACTCACTATAATGCATGACAAAATGGTATTACTAAGCATGCATCACTTCCTTTGTTCATATTTAAAAACATCATTGTCTTCCCTGTATGTTAGATACCACATAACCAGCTGCAGTAGTTTGCTGAGGGTCTTTTGCATTGATACACGTGAATCCAGAATCCAGAATGCATGTTCAGTGATATTTTCCCAGGTTTCTTAACACAAAAAGTCTTGAAAACAACACAGACGAAAATATTTCTTCCTGAATGTTAAAAAGGCACAAATTAAGAAAACACACGTGTTTAAACATGTTCACATGAAACAAGCCGTGTTTTCTTGTTAATTCTTGACAGATGACAATGGTCAATGGTAGCACATGCTGCAGACTACTGAAGGTTGTAGTGAATCTTCACAGATGGTTTGGCGGATTTGAAATAGATCTTTGTGGACCTCACGGGAACATCTGATAAGTTATAAGAACGCCACGGTTGGACGACCTATCTTCTGAACCTGATCTTATGAAATCTATATTGATAACCACCTAACCCAATCCAGACATCAACTACATCTTCATTACTGTGATTAAAGGGTAACGATGGGTAACTTACATAGCCCTACAAAACGAACAAATGCCCTTTGATATTAACAGGAATGTTGAGTCCCGACTGCAGTGGTTACACCGACTTGATCTAAGTACCTCACTGGAGTTGTACATATTGTACATGATCAAATGATTTCTGTCTTTTAGTGTGGGCATAAATGTTTCTCCCGTAATACTTTGTCGAATGCCTTATCCTATGAATGAAACGATCGAAAGCCAGTTCCCACTATACATGTATCTCATTTTCTAACACTTTACGACAAGGAAGGGAGTATTTATGGATGTCAACTTTTATAGTCTGAGGAACGCAACACTTACTCATTCATCAGTTGAATGAATAGCATGAGGCAGAGAACATATTCACCTGATGAAGGAGTATGGATATACTCCGAAACGTTGTATTTGTCATAATAAAGAAAGTGACATCAATTAAATCTCAATCCCTTATGTGTATCAGGCACCCGTGAAGAGCCACCTCCTCGTGGTGGGTGCTGGGTAACGGTAAGAGCTCTTCAGCCCAACACCCCCCTTCCCCTACCCAACGTGGACCCAGGGGCATGTTTGGTCCACTTCATCCCATTGCTGGTCGTAAGACCGACTTGTACAACCTGTTTGCCTTGGGTTGCGCCCCTGTGTCGGTGGAGGACGGGAGTCTGGTGGTTCCTTTGCCCAACACACCACTTCGCCCCTTACTTCATCTAGACGGGTGGTTGAATTGGCCCGGTTCTATCAATCGGCTGGTCACGCCAAGCCCTGGGCTACAACTGTATAATGTTGCACAAAATTTTAGAAAATGATAACATGATATTTAAGTCTTGGCGGAATTATTTGATCTCAGAATTTCAAATACATAATATCATGTATGTTTTTGCCTAGAGTCGTATGCCCAGAAGGCGGTGGCTCATGGGCCAATCTGGTGGAATTATCAATCTGTTAATCTTTCTGCTCGAGTATATCATCAGGGTATCCTTGGTGCTGCAAGTTGGAAATCCACTTGTTTTTAGCATTGTCCTTGTGATACTCCGTGGTAGGTAGGGAGCTCGGATGATGAAATCTAAATAACTAATCATGGCTCATGAAACCCCGACCAAAAAGGAGCCGACGTCCTCTTGAAAATGATCCTGCTGACAACGACCTCAGACCGCCTAAACATATTGGCCACGTTTTGTTGTCATTGAGACCAAAGATAACATACCATTGAAGTAAAACCCTTTATACTTCAGAATTATTGCTTTCGAAAGCATTATCCTAAAGTGTTAAACAATTAAATATAATGGGAATGGGCTTTCAAACATTTCAATCATGCTAAGGCATTCAACAAAGTATGAATATGAATCACAGTCACCAAGTTTGCATTTCAAATAGACGTTTAAGTCCAACTCCTAATATTGACATTCCATCAAAGAGGCGGCGACGACAATAATTGACGGGCAAATGCGTGGACCATCTCTTGAGATCTTTCTGACAGGATGTAAAATTTGTTTTTTATCTATCGTGAGATTACTGGCGAAACATGTATGCCCAACTTAAAAGACAGAATTGGCCTTCGGCTGAAGGGAATGTGTAAATCCAGCTAGGGTCCATGCAGTCAACAAAAGTACTGTAAGTCCATATTGGTCCCTAGTATGGTGATCTACCCTCAGTTGCTAGCGATCTACAGCCCATATCAAACGTAAGGTGTAATCTATGTGTTAAATAGAATATCTTCATATTTGAAACTGGTAGTTTTTTAGAAAGACATTGTGATATCTTGCTAATGCTGTACTGCCCATTGTAACAGGTTTTTATACATTTAAGCAAAATCATGGCCGGGAACAGCAGAAATGGGCTTCACACATTGTTCCCATGTGGGAAATCGAACCCAGATTGTCGAGGTGACGACCAAACACTTAAATCACTAGGCTACCCCACCGCGCCTGTTATAATGTGGATTGTCCTATAAGCAAACGCTAACAGCAGTGTTTTTGTGTCTGTGCGTTTGCCCGTGAGGGCGTTCGTGTGTCGCTGCGCGCTTGTAAAATATAGCTACGAGGAAGTTATTCGTTATCTTCGCCGTGGGTATCGGCTGTATCGTTGAAAGTACGTTTGTTCCAATACTCCATGACCTTCTTCCCACTAGGTACCAGAATGCACAAGCCTAAGTTCTTTTTGACAGCCTATTGACTATAGTGGGTGTTGGTTCAAACGCGCTTGTCCACCATGGTAGTAAACACAATTTTTGCTGTTTTGCGCCCTCAGTGGCTGCGTTTTGCCATACATTTTGCCCATTAAGCCCGCTTGCTTGCATTACCATATACGGCATTG